TTATGACGACTTTCCTAGATCTATGCAAGGATATGATCGCATTTGGTTGGTGATTGATAGGTTAACAAAGTCAGCACAATTTTTGCTTATTTGTTAGACTGATTCAGCTGAAATTAAATTTTGTGAAGATATTTATGAAGAAATTTATGTGACTACATGAGTTTTCTAGTCTTATTGTGTTTGACAGAGTTGATAAATTCACCATTAGACTATGAAAAGATATACATGGAAGTTTGACAGAGTTGATAAAGCTTACTGCTCACGGAAACATCCGAAGATATGATTAATTAGAAAGAATAAGTTAGGTTTTAGAAGACTTACTAGGGCTATGTATTTTGGATTTTAGTGGTAGCTAGAAAAATCTTATTTCATTGATAGAGTTTGTCTATAATAATTGCTATACATAAATCTAACATCAAGATGACATCCTATAAAGTATATTTGCATGATAAAAATGCATTACTCCACTAAGTTGGATTGAGGTTTCAAAGAGGCAGCTGATAGGTCCACCATTTTATTTATTTATTTATTTTGATGGGTCCATCATTTATGGATTAAGCTACTAAGAAAATTAGGTTAATCAAAGACAGAATAAGGGAGACCTATAATTTATTATGAATTAAAGCATAGAATTGTTGAATTTGGAGTTGGAAGATTTGTGCTCTTAAAAATTAGATAAATGAAAGGAATTTTTGTATCTGGTCAAAGAGAGGTTGAGTCCTAGGTTTATTAGGACATATGAGATAATTGAAAGAATTGAAAAAGTTGCATGTAAATTAGCATTATCAACATATGTATCTTTTTTTTTTTTTTTGAAAGAGATTTATATAAAATAACAAAAAAGAATGAATACAAGATCAACCCAAAACAAAAGCTCTCTAAAAATTACAACAGTTAAAATAAAACCTAAGAGCTTAAGTTCCAAAAAAAGGTTCAGTAGGAAGCCAGGACTACCAACATCCTCGAGTATTCGCAGGGACCATCCAGAAGAAGCATCAACGGTTGCCACAAGGAAACAACGAGGATGGGAGCCCCAACCACATCATTACCCTGCAACAACCAATCGAAACCAACACCAAAACCAGTAGAAATCAAACAGCTCATCTTCTTTTACCTCCTCGATTCCAAAATTTTCCACGCTGAGCAACCTTCAAAGGTTTACCCGAAACCATGCTAAACTCAAAATCAGGATCTGAAAATGAATCAGAATCCGAATTCTCCTCAGAAGAATTATTTAACCAGTCACCATGAGACCCAACAACCATTTCAGAATTACTACCCAGGGCAACATTGGATTCCACTAACTTCACATGCACATTAACCAAGTTTTGAGAAAATGGAGAAACTCTCAGTTCCGACCCATCACCTATTGTAGGACCCGATTCTTGCATAACACCATTTGAAATCAATCCCTCACTGGAATCAGATACCAGATTATTAATCTCAATACCCTCATTCCCAGCCAACTGAATTAATCCAACAGACGAAGGAAAAAAAGGCAAAGCATTTGGAGACAAAGAGGCATCAGCCTCAACCGAAACCACCTTTACACCCAAAACATTATCCTCCCTATTGTTATCCAACAAAACATCAGACGTAGGATTTGCCACAGTAACAGAAAAATTCCCAATCAACTTAAGATTGAAACAAAATTTCCGAATGGCATCGACGGAGGGCCTTCGCCCCGGAAAACGACCCACCAAAGAGAATTCAAAAGGTTTAGCGAGCGACCTAACCTCATCCTCAGAAATTAACAACGCCGGCAAGCCACGATGAGAAGAAAAAGTCAGTTCAGGAAAAGAAGAGGAAGTAGAACCTGAAACCACATCCTAATTGAACATAATATTTCTAATGTATCAATGGTTACAAATAAAAATTAGAGAGGGCCAACAGATAAAATTGAGGTGTGGAACAACTTAACCTATATTGAAAAACTAAAAAGGATATTGAAATTCCGTGTTAGAGAATTCAGAAGCAAAAAAATCTAATTAATGAAAATAATAAAGTGTAAGCATAGATCAGAAAAATAAGCAACTTAAAAAAAAAAAAAGAGAAAGATATGAGATAGAAGTTCTCTCGTTTGTCTAACAATTTATGAATGAAGTAAATATAAGGAACTAAATTTAAAAAAAAAGGAAGAATTGTAATATTCAAGAAATTTGAAAAAGGTAAAAAACGATCATTTATCTAAAATATTATACCCCCAATATTATTTGTATATCTCAAAATTTATAAATAATATTTTTTTATAAAATTTTATAATATTTACTTATCATTTTATAAAACTTCAACATGTACATAATATGAAAGATATTCTTCTCACATGTAACAACCCCACTTCCCTCTCCAATCTACTATAGAATCTTCTCCACAAGTCTAATATGTGAAATTTGTGGCCCATATCACACTTTCTCAAGTCGACCTTCTCTAGCATAAGCCTAAGCGCAAACCATTAAGCCATAAGTTAAATATCAATGAGTAAATATTTCATAAATACTTCTTCTATTGTTTATTATTATGTTTAAAAGATAAAGACTTTAGGTAAATGTTAGCCATCACCCCATATCTCTCTCTCTCTCTCTCTCCTTGTTATTATTATTACTATTTTGAAAAGATCTCTCTAATTAGTCAATAAGAAACACCTAACGAATATTTATAACAAAATAATATTGGACAATTGCTATGCATAATATATAATATGCAATTAGGGAGTAGGGTTATCAAAATAGGTCAAAGGATCGGGGTCGGGGTCAGGTTCAACCCGAAATTGACCCGACCCGATTTTGGTCAATTCGAACCCGAATTGATTGCTAAAAGAGATAAAAATTGACATGAATCCGACCCGATAGCAACCCAAACTTGACAAGATAACCTGTTTTAATTAAAAAAAAATATTTTTATTAGTTTATTAATCATATATAGATTTTACATTAATTGATAAAAATAGGAAGATTATACCAACAAATAAAAGAAATTAAAGAAAAAATATTAAATTGATCAAATTTTTATCAAAATTGACTTCTCAGGTCAACTCGAATTCGACCTATTTAATGAACGGATCAGAATGTCTTACCCGAACCCAACTTATTTATTAACACATTCACGAAAAACCAAATTTTTCGAGCCAAATCATTTATTGACATCTCAACCATTGAGTCCTAAAAATTGACATTATCCATTACAAAAATAAAGGCCTATTTTAGACGCATCTTTTAGCTATAAAAAAAATGTTAAAAAATAGAAACATCAGACAATTGCGCCATTAACTCAACAATTTCACTAAGAAAAAATTCAGTTTTACGTCGCCATGCATTAACTGCTCCTAGTCTTGCTGTATTACACGTTGGTTTGCTAAACCCGCAAGCAAACGCCCGCTTTCAATAATTACTTGGTTAGGCCAAATGATAATAAGCAGCAAGCAACCAAGTATTCAATGCTAGCAGCCGTAAATAAAACAAGTTTTGCAACGTTTTGATGAGCCAACCCATTACAGATATTTAGCCTTCGCTTATCTGCTCTAAAGAATGGCATCTTAGCATTCAATGAGGAAAAAGAGAGAAATGAAAAAGTAAATATGACAGCAGGCTTCAATAAAAAGAAGAGAAACGCAAGCCTGTTCATTCAGTGTATTCCCCAAGAAACCGCTCACCTAGTGTATTCCCCAAGAAAATCACTTGTTTTTTTTTTTTTTTGAAAAAGATTATTGTTATTTTTACTATATTAAAGAATTTTATAAAATTATTTTTATGATTAAATGTATAAAAATATGATAATTATAAAAGAATTATTAATCGATTTGAAAAATATATATACTTTTAAATAAGTTGATTTTTCATAACAACTATACAATCACTTTTAAAAACAACCTTTAGATGGTTTTTTAGGATTTGTTTAGGACAATATTTTCACTACTTTACTTCTCAAATTACAACACCTTAATTTGATTATTGTTTTCTTTAGGGGTGTCAAAATCGGGTTGCAGATCGGGTTTGTGTTGAACTCAGAATTGATTCAACGCTATTTGACACAACCTAATCCCTACCTTTTTTTTCTGCAAACATGTCATAAAATTCAACCCGGACCCGACCCGTCTGGTTTCTGAGTTTACTCGACACGAAACGGGTTATGGCCGAAAAAGCGTGTGAATGGGAGAAACCTTGTCGAAGAGGTTACTAGTCTCGTCGAAGCCGTAGGACGCCAGAATCAGAAGGGTGTCATCGAAGCCGGAGAAGAGGAAGGAAGGAACGTCGGGACTGGCGGAGGGAGAGGCATGGCCACGTGACGGCAGCGAGACGGCAGCGAGATAACAGAATATGCGAACATGGACGTTGGCGAGGCCATTGGGCCGAGTTGACTATCGAGTGCGGCTGTGGAGGCGGGAATCGGGATTTCGTGTAAGAGGGAGTTAGGGTCAGATCCGTATCGGGTCATTTTCGGGTTTCCGAATCATCCCGGACCCACCCCATTTTTTCAAAAGGATCGAATCATGGAACTCAAACCCGACTCGTTTGCGAATTGGGTTGACCTTATTCCAAAATTTTCACGCCGGATTTTCGGATTATGTCAAATATTAACACATCTAGTTTTCTTGATATTTTTTCAGTGCTTTAAAAATTTACTATGATGAGAAATTTCTTTTAACAATCATAATTCTTAATATATAATAGCTTTAACAAAAAGTTATTCAATTTTTTTAAAAAAAATATTTTTAATATATTCATAACAATTTTTTAGAAAATTAGTATCTCCAACAATTTTACAATCAACTTTACAAAATACTTGCAGCCATCCCAAATAGCTTAACTAATTATTTTCAATTTATTCAATGATAATTATAAAAAAATATTAATCAATTTTATTAAAATAATATTTATTCTAATCATAATAATTTAATTTTCATGACTACTTTACAATCAATTTTACAAGCACCGTTGCTTGTTTAACCAGCTTTTAGGTTCTTCCTCACATGAAATCCACCTCCTTATAAATACATAGACTGCCCACAGATTTTTCATCTCCCCTGTATTAATGCTGGCCTCTTCTTCCTCCTCTTCTCTAGACCCCCGAAGAGAATTAAAAATGAGGCCTGGCATCTCTTTGAACGATCCTAATCCACTAGCTCCGATGGCCGCAACGGTGGAAGCCATCCCACCGGCCGTACACACGGCGCCATGGCGCTCACCGGTGCCGTATCTGTTCGGTGGCCTGGCGTCGATGTTAGGCCTCATAACCTTCGCTCTACTCGTCCTCGCTTGCTCCTATTGGAAGCTTTCGGGCTACCTCGAGAGAGTCGACAGCGATGAACATATGAGCGAGACAGCTGGTTCCGGTGGCCTCGGAAAAGCTGCAGATGAAGCGCAAGAGAAGAAGGCGACGGATTTGGAAGAACGGTTCGTCGTCATCATGGCCGGAGATGAGAAGAAAATATTTCTCGCCAATCCCATTCGTAGCCGCGCTTCCACTTTCAGTGGCAGCGGTGGAGACGAGCAGCCTTCCGCCGCCGCGAAGATAGGCGAGAACGAGAGCGACGGCGGCGGGGAGACGGTAACAGAGAACTGTGCGGTGAACGTGTCAGGTGGTGACTCGACTCACAATCACATCTGAAATGGTCGTTTTCCTCTTATTTTCTTGAAAAATTATTAAGTGCGTAGTGCGCACAGTTCGCACAAGTATTGAATGTCTAACGGTACTCAGCGGTACCGAGTGCGGGTACCGCTAGGTACTCAATGCTTATGCGGACGGTTCTCCCTATCCGCACTCCACACCTAATAATCTCTCGATTTTCTTAACCATCTTTATATATATATATATATTAATTTTTTTCTTTGGCTGAGCGAGTATGATTTGTTTGTAAGTGGGGTTTAATATGACTATTTGATTTCTTTTTTCGAAAATAATCTTTTTTTATATATATAGTGAAAAAGTGTTTATTAGTTCAAAATTTGTTGAGAAAAGGTGGAAATAGATAGAGAAAAACTGTAATGAATCATAATAAAATATTAAATATTTCTCTTAATCATAGCATGGAGTGATATGTACCTTACAAAACTAAATATCTTGCTTCTTATCAGACTCAATCTACTTAGTAGGATTTTTGTCTTTGCCTGAAATAGTATGAGTATAAAGTTCAGTACTTTAACCCTTTTCCCTATCTCAAAGTTCAATCCACAATTCAGTATTAAAATCAATAAAATAAGTGTTGGTGTTTACTCAACGCTAGGCATGCTATATTATATATGAATATGAATGCAAGAATGTCCATTTATTAATGCCTCCTTGTAACTCCCAATTACCACCTCTTACAATCTTGTGGCTAGTGCAGAGCAGAGCCAAAATAAAGCAGTGTATTCTTATATAGAATCATCTCAGAGTCAAAGAAAAATATTGTAGCCCACAACAGAGATACATTTGCATTGGGCCCAAATACAAAATCTAAAGTGCACTTTCACTTCCGTAACAAAGCTCTAGAATGCTATGAAATGCATGATGATGAAATGCAATATTGAATTTTATATAAGTAATCCCAAATTTGGATGCATATTCAAATTCTTCAAAATTTTTCCAATCTTTTAGGGGATGTATAAAATGTTAATCTGACACACTTTATCAATTGTGCTGAAGTTCAAAAGCGACTCATTTATCCATAAAACTCAAAAATTCATAATGAGCAATCAATTAGTAAAATTTCATATTCTTATAGTCAAATTGTCCATAATAGTGTGGGTAATGATTTACTAAAAGTTATATGGTGGAACCTTTTTCAAACTCAAGAAAAATACATTTATAAGCATATAAATATGTTGTAATTGAAATTAGAAATAAAGTATAGATTGCCTACCTCAAGCCCAATAATTTACCCAACTAGTTGAATAGACATTTTTGAATTTTGGCCTCTTAAACCTCTCTTCATCTTCTTCTCTCATTTATTTCTTTCTCCTCTCTCCTCTTTTCTTCGGCAAGGCTCGGGTGCAAATGGGATTCACAAGTGATTTTAAATAGTTTTAATATTTAAAAATAATTAACTTGACCTAAAGTAGTGATGCTACCTTTCGTAGCACTGTTGTGCTCCTAAGAAATCTTTTAGATTCCCCCATAACATCTTCACTTGAGACCTAGCATCGCAACGACGCTTCCCCGTCACTCTAGCGTATGCCCAAAAAGTTGAGAGCTCGATGCCTGGGCACCTACTACCATAGTGCTGTGGCGCCTATAGAGCAAAATGTAAAGTATTGGATTTTACTTCTCAAATGCCAAACCTCAGTTACTCGGAATCCTAATAAGCACTCTAAGACTCATAATTATTAATTAATTTAGAATTGATTGTCGTTATCAAAAAATTACCTAAATTTTATATAATATATATATTATATTCTCCCCTTCTTATAGAAAATATCATCCCGACTTTTCAAATTTACAGCACAGTCAGACAAGGTTTTGATATAATTGTCTCATTCAACCTCTTTCTCCCAAGTTACTTTTTTCTTTAGTCTAGCTTTCATTGAACTTTCACCATCATAATCTAATGATTTGTTAATTGCTTAATATTAGAAGCCAGAATATGCTCAAGTTTATCTCTAAAAGTCAGATTGGGTGTCATATCAACTTTATCTTCTGGGACTCTTAGATCTACATCTGATACCAATCTCTTTAACACTAACACATGGAACACATTATGGATATATGAGATACGGCTCGTAAAAATAAAAAAAAAAAACTATAAGCATATTCTCCAATCCTCTCAATTACCTAAAAAGGTCCAATATACTGAGGACTTAAATTGCTATCTTTTTTTTAATCTATTTACACTCTTTATGGGGTTGACTTTTAGATACACAAAATTGCCAACTTGAAATTCCACAAACTTTTGTGTTGGATAAAAATATTTCTTTTGCTTGTCCTGAGAGCTACTTCCAATCTTTTCCTGATCAGTCGGATCTTTTCAGTAGCACTTTCTACTAGCTCTGAATCTATCTGCTTACTTTCTCCTACCTCTGCCTAAGATATCAGTGTCCCACACTTTTTTCTATACAGAGCTTCATAAAGAGCCAGATCAATGATTACTTGGAAATTATTATTATAAGAAAATTCAATTAAAGGAATATGATCAGTCTAGCTTTCTTCAAAATCTAGAATACAAAGCCTCAAAAGATCCTCTAAAAACCAAATAATACTTTCAAACTGCCCATCCATATTGATGTAAATTTTCAAGCTGAATTTCAACTTTGTCCCAAGACTCTCTTGAATATCGTTCCAAAACTTCAAACTAAATCTACCATCCTGATTGATAATGATAACATTAGAAATTTCATGTAACCTAACAATCTCTTTCACATACAATAGAACTAACTCGTCAACAAAATTAGTCTACCTCATTGACAGAAAATGAGCAAACTTAGTCAATCTATATACTATAACCCACATCTAGGGGTATAAACGAGTCGAGTCGAGCTCGAGTCAGGGGGTGTTCGAGCTCAACTCGCAAGTCGAATACCCAGCTCGAACTCGAGCTCAAGCTCGAGTCGGGCTCAAAAATCGAGCTCGAGCTCGACTCGCAACACTATATCGAGCCGCTCGCGAGCCGCTCGTTTTCGTTCCTAACATTCCCGCCTGCTTTTAATTTTACCGCCTGTTCTTTTATTTTTTGGGAAATCCGCCCGTTTCAAACCGTGGAGCAGAGACTGCGTGAGCAATGCCACTTTAGCATTAATTAGAAAAGAAAAAGGCTGCTATTCTTCAGCAGCTTTTAGATTAAATATAAAAAAAAAAAAAACATTAGTTCGAGCCGGCTCGCGAGCTCACGAGCCGAGCTTCGTCAAGCTCAAACTCGAGCTCGTTTACTAAACGAGCTCGAACTCGAGCTCGAGCTCGACTCGTGAGCTCGATAAGCTCGACTCGCGAGCCTATAAACGAGTCGAGCTCGAGCAGGCTCGCGAGCCGGCTCGGCTCACTTACACATCTACCCACATCACATCATAACCTTGACTAAACTTGGGAAAGTTAAAAGCAAAATCCATAGTAATCTCCTCTTTTTTTCACTCAATAATATACAACTATTGCAATATTACACTAAGACTTTAGTGCTCAGCTTTCATTATCTGATATACTTTAAATTTAGAAATAAGTTCTATCACTCCTCACTTCAATCTAGGTCACCAGAAAATGCACTTCATATTGCGATACATCTTGTTATTGCTTGGGTGAATAGTGCATACAGAGTAGTGGGCTTTATGTGGAATCTCCCTCCTCATATCACCACTACTTATGATCCATAATTTGTTACCACAAAAAAAAAAAACACACACACACCTTACTCATCTACATTCCACTCAACTATCTTTCCAATTTGAATATGATCTATCAACATTGCATATTCTTCATCTACCTTCTAAGTTTTTTTTTTTATTTTTTTTTATTTGATAATAAGGGTTGAACTATCATCTGAGATATGATTCTAGTATGCATATCATATGAATATATTACTTCTAATTATAACTTCTCCATCTCCCAAATTAATATTTTCTCAGAAGTAATTACTAAACTAGCTACCACTCCTATTGATTTCTTACTCAAAGCATCAGTAACCATATTTTCCCTACCTGGCTAATTAATAAATGAATTTCAAATCATAGTCCTTAATTAGCTCCAACCAATTTCTCTGCCTCAAATTTAATTCTTTCTTGATGAAAATATACTTCAAACTCTGATGGTCACTATAGATCCCACATTTGACATAATACAAATAATTTCATCGAATTTGTAATGCAAATATAATAGCTTCCAAGTCTAAAGCATGAGTTAGGTACTACTTCTCATATAACTTAAGCTTCTTGGATTCTTAAGTTATTACCTTTTCATTCTATTGCAACACACATCCCAGATCTTTCAATGAAACATCATTATCACTTGAAGTCCTTCTATACCCAATAGAATTATTAGTACAGGGGATTGCACCATATACTCCTTCAATCTATGATATCTTCTTTCACACTCTGGTGTCCAGTCAAACGATATAGTCCTTTGGGTCAATCTAGTCAGAGGAATCATAATATGAGAGAAGCCTCTAACAAAATTCCTATAATAATTTGTCATGCCCAATAAACTATGGAACTCTGTTATGGATTACAGTCTCAATAAATCTACTACAACCTACACATTTCTGGGATATATAAATATCCCTTTCTTATTTATCACATGCCATAAAAAAGTTACATAAGTTAACCATAACTCAAACTTCAAAATTTTATAATATAGCTTGTATTTCCTTAGAGTCTCAAAAGAAAATTATAAATGTATTGCATGATCTTCCACATTTCGAATACATCAATAAATTTAATAAAAATTTTGATCTAAATTCTCAAGGAATACTCAACTCATCAAATCCATAAATACTAATGAGGCATTAGTCAAACTAAATGACATTACCAGAAACCCATACTATTTATATCTAGTGCTGAAGATTTTCTTCATCACATCTATTGCTTTTATTCTTAAATGATGATAGTTTGATCATAAATAAATCTTGGAAAATCTGGTTGCATATTCTAGCTGATCAAATAGTTTGTAAATCATGGGTAACGAGTGATTATTCTTCATAGTTACTTAATTCAACTCTCGATAATCAATACACATATGTAATGATTCATCTTTATTCTTCACAAATAATACATGAGCTCCCCATGGTGATCCACTCAGCCTAATAAAACCTCTATCCAATAGCTCCTCCAATTATACCCTCAACTATTGCAGTTCTCTTCGTGTCATCATATAAGGAGTCTTCATTATCATAATCATACATGATAACACCTTGATATAGAACCCTAAAATCTAAACCTTAAACCCTAAACCTAAAGCCTAAATGGTAAACCTTAATCCTAAACCTTAAACCCTTAAACAT